TGCTTGTAGAAACTGTACCAAAGTAGCCAGGAAGGTTTGCCGAGGTTTCCCCTCTCTCTGCTCCCAGGAGGGAGTGAACCACACTGACAGAAACTGTCAGAAACTGTCCCAGAAACTGTCTGGGACTTGAGCGTTTTTCTCCCTCTTCCTTTAAGCAGAAGTGTTTTGATTAAATTAGTAAAACCGTTCATTTTCTCTGGCACTCCTTAACTTTATTTTTGTTACTTCTAGCCAGCTTGAGACATTTTTTCCGAGGTAGCATCCACTACACCTGTCTTAGAAGCCAAACCTGCTGCTTCCCCCTACCCAAGAAACAGAGATACTCCTGTGCAGCCAGATCTGGTATTGGCTGAGGAGCAGGAATGAACCCAGCCATTCCCACCTCTCTGCAAAGAGCTCCTGCTGCCCTCTGCTCCTGGGAGGTGACATCCTCCAGCACCACATCCCAGTTGGGATAGGTCCCTGCCCAACTCCCTGTGGCTCTCATTTAGAAAGCCAAACCTGCTGCTTCCCCCTACCCAAGCAACAGAGATACTCGTGTGCAGCCAGATCTGGTATCAGTAAGCCAAACCTGCTGCTTCCCCCTACCCAAGAAACAGAGATACTCCTGTGCAGCCAGATCTGGTATTGGCTGAGGAGCAGGAATGAACCCAGCCATTCCCACCTCTCTGCAAAGAGCTCCTGCTGCCCTCTGCTCCTGGGAGGTGACATCCTCCAGCACCACATCCCAGTTGGGATAGGTCCCTGCCCAACTCCCTGTGGCTCTCATTTAGAAAGCACCATCCCTGAGTGGAGAACTGGGGGTACACCTCCATCACCTCCCCGTACCAGGGGTTTAAGGATGCCAACTGAAAGCATCCACTGTGGCCACGCTGCTGTGGAGCACCTTGAATGCAAGCTCAGTTCTACCTCCATGGGCCAGGATCACACCCCTGGATCCCCAATCCTTAGATTGCACCAGGCAAAATCCTGAACCAAGGAAACAGTCCTTAAAGCCTGTTCCCTCTCTAGCTATTCACAGCAGGGATAAGTAAGGCCTCATCTATAATCACCTAAAAACATCACATAATTCATGCGCCGGCAGTACAACAGCTGAGCACGCTGCAGGATACACAGCAACATACATTGGTGATGCACCATTACACACTTTTCCCAGTGCAAGCCCTGTTGAAATGCTGCCATCAAATTATTTCAACTGATCAAAGTAGGAAAAAAAAATAGAATATTAAAGCCCCAGATAACAAATTAATAAGAATAAAAGCATGTAGGTGAGAATTAAGAAGGCATTAACATTCTGATGGCATCTGCTGCCTAAATTAAACTACAGGGAAAAAAAATGAGTTCAGCTGACGCTCAGGATCAGGACAAATAGTTCTCAAATGGAAATTACAGTTTTGAAAATTATGCACCAAAAAAGGATCCAATTTAGGACATTTCTGATTTGTGAAGTTCTTTCTCCAGGTGGGGATCTCAGGCTTGACTGGAGGGCTGGCAACATGATTGGCAAGATGCTGGAGTTGCTCAGTTCCTACATCCCACAGCAGGACCAAACTGGTCCGTAGCCCAGTGGGGCCAGTATCTTGTCACCTCTCCGGTCCCCTGGGGCTCTGTCCCCTTTTGGAATTGGACCATATGGATATGGTGTGCAAGGTGTGTCTCATTCACACAGACACCAACATGGAAAAGGCGGAGGAATTAGGCCTGGATTTTCAAAGGAGCTCAGTGTTAAATTATGTGGATAACTGCATCCGTAATTTACATGAGCAGTTACTGTGACAACTAGTCGTGAAAGTCATAAGTAGCCAGTTGAGCATGTAATGACCTGAGTTATATGCACCATCATGTCTCTCTGGCACACCAAATTAGGTGTGCATACACATTTTGCATGCCCCAAAGGACTTCTACCTCAGCAAAGAGCCTTAATTTCATAGCACAAGCCTGATCTCAGCAGCCTAGCACAGCACAGACAGTTTATGCAATGCAAAGAGCTGGCACAAACTCCACGGCCCAGGTCGGAATGGATCCTCAGACAGCTAATTAATTTTTACTGCTCCTTTGTGAACTGTAAATTACCCTTCATTTCCTAGATTTCTGTCCCATTTTTTCGCCTGCCTTTCTCTAGTGAGCCAGTAAAAAGGGAAAAGTGCCAGTAATGGGCTCTCGTTGTGATAAAAGCAGCCACGACTCACTCACACTTTGAACAATGCTGTGCTTACAGCCAGAATACAAAGGCAATTGGGTTTCAAGAAACTGTCCAGAGATAATGACTTTTCCTGGAGATGGGAGGATACGAGGAATATTTTAAAAATAGAGGGGCCGAGGGGGAGTGTCTGGTTTTGCAGGACAAACACAACCAAGTTCCCCTCTTGCAGAGGGTTAAAAACAAGATTAATAATCTTCAGTTAGAGACCAAGTTCATCAGAATTGCCTGCACAAGAGCAAAGGGAAACTGCTTACCACGCTGAACTGCTAACAGCCTCCCCTTCTCATTTCGACAGGAAAGAAGAGCCTCTCTCCAAGAAAGAGTGACCTTCAGACCACACACACACACACCAGAGCCTTTAGAGAGCAGCCCCTGAGCAAATGGTGCCGGAGCGAGGATGGGCGGCTTTTTTTCAGTCCTGCCATGACCCTGGTCAAAGGCTAAAGCTGCCGATTCTGTTGAATCCAGAGAGCAACACCCCGCCAAGGAAAGACCTACTAGAAGATACACTGGAACCATGTCTTGGCAGGTTTGTATGTTCCTCACTGATGCCACTGTTGTCCAAACCTTTTACCTTCAGCCACAACACCCATCAGAGGCAGAGGTAGCTGTAGGGAAGAGATCACAACACACCTGAGATGAACTTTGCACAGGCTCTGCTGAAATTCAAGACAGCTTCAGCACGATGACAATCACTTCACCCTTGGGTCAGGACACCGGCATTTACATTAAATCTGTGAATAACAAAGAGGTATTACTGGAATTTGCATGCGGTTGCATCTACCAAATGCCCCTTGAAAGGCCATGGCCACAAGAACATAGGGAAGATCTCCAGGTCCATGCTGCTGGGATGCTGCAGGAATGAGAACACAGCATTGCTGGGGTGCGTTTATGGGGCCTTCAGCATATTAAGATACTTATATTGCAAAACACCACATTCCTCCGCTCTGACGGAGCCTTTTTTTATCTCAGCTGCAGATTCCTGAGTCGAAATCACTGCCAGATGACTGTGCACAGTGAGTTAATGGCCACAAAACCTGAGCTTCTCTGGCCTCAAGTCATTTACCCACAGCATCAATGACGTTATCGTGTTCAGCCCATATTTACTACAGCTACAAACTGATTCAGAGAAACCTGGAGTACAGGATTAATCATTACTCTTGGGATGTTGAAAATGGATACCAGAACGGACTTCCAAATTAGGTATCTAAAAGTCCTGCATCTCCCAGGAGAGCCCCATTACATCTCCCTACTCGTTCTAATGGAATCTATAGTATGTGAGCGCAGCTTTGCCTCCCACAAGTCCTCCCTGCATAATTAGCCCCAGCTCAGATTGCTGCTTTCTGTAATGGCTGGAGAACCACTTTCTTCAGGCTACTGAGACGTAAAGAGGAAATGTTTATTGCAAAATGCAAGTCAACCACAGCCAGTGGGTCTGGGCCATGGTGGAGGGATACAGAAATGGCTGCTTCTTTTTTTTTTTTTCTTGCCTCAGAAATAGAACTCCCTAAAAATAGCAGTTCCTCAGGAACAAGACTGCCTGAAAATAGCTGTTTCTCAGGAGCAGGGCTGGCTGCTTCTGAAAGAAGTAGCTATTAATGTATAATTGTCCCTAAGGCTGGCTTCTGAGAAAATGCTGTACATACAGAGGGCTGTGAAGACATATGTTCACAGGCAGGAAACATAGGCACCCCTCTCTTGTCACAGGTCCTGTAAACTCCAATAGCATTTGGTTCACTAGTCTTAGGCACGATTAGATCCTTCACAGCACTGGGAGGTACTTTCCTCTGTACTGTAAAGCAGCACTCTGGGATGCTCGTATTATCTAGACCAGTAAATGACAAAGCCTCCACCAGCTCAACAGTGGTTCTTCTCCCAGGACTGAGAAAGCCTTAAAAGCCAGACCCAGCTCTGAAGCTCCAGCACTGTCTTTCCACAGAAGGTCCAAGAACTTTGTTGAGTTGCAGGTTGTGCAATCTACTTCCAATTTCCTGCTCTACTCAGCACTTAGAGTTTTCTCACGCAGATGCTACAGGGCAATAAATCTTCTGAAGAATGGCCCTACATTTCTCCCACTATGGTGTTGCCTTATAATGAGGAAAGACAAATTGCTTGTGAGATCAGTTGATTGCTTGGTTATTCCCTAAAATGTCTCACTCATCCCTCTCGTATCACCATGGGTTCAACGGCTCATTTCTTGTGTCTTCTTTTTCCTTGCCGGCACAGCCAGGCAGTATCTGCACAGAGGCCGTTCTCCTCCTCTTAAGGAAAATTCCAGCTGACCAAAAGAAGCAGAGATTATAAAAGGTCCAGAAAAGGCAAATTTTGCAAAGAGGCAGTTTTAAGGCAACGGTAGTGCAGATGAAGTACAGGGGGCTCTGACCGATTGCTGCCACCGTTTCAGTCCCACACCACCACTGCCAGGAACCATAGCAGCCTCTCCTGAGGGCATCCTTGGATCCTAAAGGCTGGGTAGGACTGGGCTGTGTCATCACAGGACAGAAATCTATAGACTGTTTCTTCCAGGCTCTGCTTTAAGTGCTTCTTCAAGTTGTATCTCTCCTCTGTTCACCGGTGATCTGATGCTTCAGCATTCTGATATCAGCAGAAGCAGGTTTCTGGAGGAAGAGTAAGGCTGAAGTTCCAGCCACTGAGTAGCCCAAGGCAGTTCTTTTAGCTCAAGAAATTGCTCTGTTTTTTTTTTTTCCTGACCAAACTCCAGCAAAAGAAATGGCACTCTGCTTGCAATTACAGCAGGCTGCAATTTTCATTAAGGAAACTACCTTTATTTCTGTGGGTAGGGCTTACATTGCAGCGTACAGCAAAGACAGACATTCCCAGACTTCATTTTAACCTTGTTTGCTTAGGAGGGAATAGCAGAGAAGCTGCAGCCAGGCTGATTTCACATACCCACGGCTGTTGGAAACCTGTAAAACACAAAATATATGGTGTCAAAACTCTGGTGCCTGACATGGTGAGATAAAACTAGAGCAGGTATCCATACCCCTGTCACACAGCCATGACATCCAGCCACCCCAGACACTGATCTTTCTCTTCCCTGTTGCTAACTGGTATTGTTATATAATCTAAACTGCAGGCATAAAGGCAAAGATCTACAAAACACAGATATATACCTATACTCTTTGCCTTTTTATTTCATTAAAGTTTTGAAAAATGCCTTGGGACTCTCAAATCAAATAGCCCATGAAAGACAGAGTGCTTGGCAACATTTCCCTTTGATAGCAGCAGGGTGAGGATTTTTTGCAGCTCAGATCGGTTTGATTAAACAAGCATTTTGTTGCAGCCGTCATACAGTGCTCATTAAAAAATACTCTACATTTGTGTAGCATTTATCATCCAAGAATCTCATCATGTTTTACAAAATGTAATTAATTAAACTTTACAACTCCCCTCGGAGAGGGATAAGGAAAATGGAGAGTTGCTTTAATCCATCACTGAACTGCAGCAGACTCTGGGTTAGAGGAAAGCAGCTGTTCAACAGCACGCAGCAGCACCAGGATGGGAAGAGAAGATCTTCAGGCAAAGTCACCCAGGGAATATTCCATACACCTTGTGTTTCCCTGAACTGCACACTTCCACTATGGGTTAAATCCCAACTGTTGAAGAGAAGAGGATGATTTTTCTCCCCCGCTCCACACCCCGGGTTTATACCTGAGACACCTGGCAGTATAATATTCCATCTATTGCATCCCCAGCACTGATAAAGAGCAGGGGTGGCCACAACCCCGACCAAAACCAAGGGAGGCAGAAGATATAAAGCCATACAGCCACAAATTGCATCTCACAGTACTGGAATGCCGTGCAAGCTGGTGCTTAAAGTGGAGGGTAAAGTCCCCTTAATCCCTCGCTTACTTCCCTCTCCCCTCCCCATCAGTAAATCCACACCTGTTAAAGGTCACCCTGAAATGAAATACATTTAAATGCTCCCTGCTGCAGCTTGGCTCCCCCATCCTAGTCCCCCTGCAGTCCCTCCCAGTTCCTGCTGCAGAGCAGGAGAGGGTAGAGGGGTGCCCATGTGCCCTGCTTGAATGTCAGCGTCGCGTGGCTGAAATCCCACCCGACTCTTAGCTGATCTTTAGAGAGGAATCTCTTTCTCACCCTGGCTTTAAGCTCCTTTCTTGCCGAGCATATAGGATAACATGGGCACTGGGCAAGCCTGATTAGACAGATCTGTTATGCCACTTTCACTACCTTGCAGAAAGCTAGAATTTGATGTGGTGCAAACTGGGGAGGGGGTGCAAAGCATCACCTGTTTGTGTGTGAAGTTTGACAACAAAAAAGACAGAGATATATGTGGGGAGAGAATGCTGCAAAGAAACAGACATGCATCCACCGAGAAGCACTGAGGAAAGGGAGAACAGACAGAGGAGCAGGTATCTTACCAATGCACTCACCAACAAATCAAACACAACCATGAATTCTGCACCAGTGACTGCATCTACTGACTGGAGAAAGAGGCAGGGTCTCGCTCTCTGGTGTGCACTTACTAAACTGGAAGGCCTGGGCTACAGATGTAGTGAGAGAAAATTTGCTGAGGGGTGGCTGAGCTGTGGCTCTCCCACTGCAGCCCTAAAAACCTTCTGATTCCTTTCATGTCTTCTAAGAAGACGCTTGGCTCACCCACTGGTAAAAAAATAAATGAGGTCTAAAGAAAACAGTCGTGCTTCTTGGCTCCTAAGCACTTACTTCAGTCTGATGTCTTCTCATTATCAGAGTTTTAAGCGACTGCAGGCATCAGGAAGAAAGACAAACCCTGGGAGACAAGCTGTTCCAGAACTGCTTAATGGGGAGTTGCACTGGGTTGAACTGGAGACTGGCTGTGCTCTGAGATCTGCAGAAGACACCATCAATGGGCACCTCCACGGGGAAGTGATAATGTCCCAAAGCCACCAGTGTCTTTGGTCTGAAAAGACTAACGGCAGCATCCAAGCTTCTTCCAAGGTAGCAGAGGGAGCATAGCCATCAAGTGCTTCAGCTGGAAAGGTCAGATGGTAGACAATTGCCACACAAGGCTATGAAAGTGCTGAGTATTTTCATCAGATGTAAATGTGGGGAGAGAAAAAAAGTACAAGAATTGTGTTGGAGAAACTGACAGTGGCTTCAGACATGGCAACAAGCTTCTGTCACACTAATTAATTAAGTCTCCGAATCCTCCCCCAGTAATATGAGGCCCATTTGTACAACCCTCCTGCTGGGCCACTCACACTTAGCCAGACAGACACGCTGGTAAGATGGGATTCATCACACCCATCTTCCCTGTGCTCATGAATGCAGATCTGCTTGCACAGATGGAAGATGTGTTCAGCCCCACCCTTCTGCATTGATACTGCCATGGTTTTCCCAGTGGGTATATGTCTTTTCTCTTTTCAGCAGTAAGAAACTGTTTTTTACTGGTCCCTGGTTTTATTTTTGTTTGTCTCCGGGAAGCAGGCAGTCTCACATACAGCTGTTGCTGCAGCAGACTTTTCATAGTGAAAATTCCTGCTTTGGTTTTGCAAGTGTTTTAATTAACGTAAATTATTTTACTACACTTTACTATTGATAGCATGTAATTATCTCCCCACAGGTATATATTTAGCTAACCAGCAGGCTGATCAAAGACCTACAAAATAAGGTACTTTTGCAGCTGACACTAGATGTAAGCAAAGGCCAGCAGGATGGGACAAAAGGAGGAGGGAAGAATTCCCCCTCCCCAGTCCTAAACACAGGGCTCAATTTTTTCCACTTGAAAAGATAATCATAACATTTACTTACACATTTTATCAGGGGAGCATGAAGATGCATTGATACTCAAGTGCTGTGAAGGAGAAAAGAACCGTGCACATGCTAAACTATTAATCATTGGTAAGAGATCTCCTCTGTAAAGTGTTTTGAGGTTGACTAAGGAAAATGGCTCTGTAATAACACAGAGCAAGCAATCCGCTTACAATCATAGGTTAATTCTCTCAACTGCTTTTGCTGGGTCAATCCCTAGGTATTATTATCTGTGCAAGGCAATTCACCATTTTCCTGAGGAAGTCTGGCCATGGAAGAGATTCCAAACTCCACACCCTTTCTCATCCTATTCAACTCGTGCGACTGGTTTCCACCACAAGCACATTTTTAGATGAATGAGGTTGAGACCTCTGCTGAGCAGCTGCACTGCTCTCCCAACATCAAACTGTTCAGGCAATTAAGAGATAGCAGATTGGATCAAGCTACCTGGGATCGTAACTTTTCTCCAAATTACCAGTTGATAAAGCCTGTGTCTCTCCATTGACCTTCTGGAAGTGCTGGTAGCCCATGATTTCTCTTTCTTCTTGATGGCTGCAGCCACTTAACCTGTGCTGGTGGGAATACATCAGATTGAAACAAGTATTTAGGAGCCAAGAAGCATCCGATGCCAAACCGCACGTTACAGAACCATATCTACCCACTCGTGTAGGTTTGATCCTTTATTAAAAGCACTGGATGCTTTGTCATCAGTTTCAGTGGGCACAGGATCAGTTGGGTAAATCCTCGTCTCGTGACCTTCTTGAAGGCCACTCTGTGCTACTTTACACACCTATGGACACTGTGTCTGCCTGTTACTACAGTACCACTGAGCACCAGTCCCAGCTGAGACCCGGAGTTTTCAAAGGGTGGCTCACAGAACAAAAAAAATGATCCCAGCCTCTAAGATCTTACAGTCCGAGGGAGGTTGTGTTAGGCTTTTTACTTCTCCTTTTCAGCAACTTTAATGAAGAGCGTTACCTAACTTTTCAGGCCAAAACTGAATTTTTGCTCTGAAAGCTGCAATATTATGTGTTACGGTTGCTACCAGAAAGAGGAAACCTCTTTCGTATCTATTGACGTCTTCTGCTGGGTTTTTTGGATGATGTACTCCCTATTATTTCCATGTCATTACTTATAAACTTCACAGCATTTTCCAGAGGGGTCTTCAGTAAGATGAAAACCTCGGGGCAACACTCCATTAGGCTTTTATTTTTATAGGTTGGTTTAAACCTTCTTCAAACTGGTAGGTTTAACTGTGGTCCTTTATTTAGGGCAGCTGAAGGAGACATTAAGTCTATTTCCACCCACAATGCAAGATTGCTCAAGTACCTGAAGGCTCTGGGAGGGCAGTTTCGGGCAGGATATTAAAAGCAAAGGAGGTTATGTGTGGATGGACAATACAGTTCAGATGGAGAAGGAGACAGAGAGCATATTGAAACAGGCAGGGAACGGAAACTTCAAACAGCCTGAACAATCATTGATATAAAACCTGGACTGAATACAGAAACAGGGATTTGGGGTCACATTGCTGCCTGGAGCAGGTCTGGAGCTATAAGCAAGGAAACTGGCTCTCAACTGCGTGTTTTCTTCTGTGTACGGGAAGGGAAGGCTGTGAGCATTCTTGTAAGCAAACAGAAATACATCAGAAATACCTTTCTTCATCACTCCTCCTCCCATCTGGATCAGCCAACAGGACCCTGATTTTCGGCCAGCAGCTCGGGTCAAAGGGAGGAAACGTGTGCTGCAAAACCTCCCGCACATCTGTACCGTTTAACTCTTCCTGCGTGGGTCAGGATTAAGATGGCACAAAGACAACAGCACTGTTCCTCTCTTGCTCTACCAGAGTGGGCAGTTCAGCCCCAGGCTTTGGTCGCTGCTGTCTCTAATTGCATTGGAGATGGATCCTCGTTATGGACCTTAATTCCAATTTAACAAACCAAATTCCCCCAGTTTGAGCAACTCTGTGTGCTCTTCTGCTCTGCAGGGAACTCCTTAAAATGAGGCGCCCGCCACTGGCTTTCTTTCCTGCAGGTGAATTAATCTGCCTTGCATGAGTAATCCTATTTAAAACACTAGGTTGCCTTGCAAGAATGAGGGAAGCAAGTTTGAAGCATGCTTTTATGCAAGTACTGTAAAAGGCCACATAGTAGTTCATCAAGGGACACTTCAGCAATAAAATGACAGTTACCGGTAAAGTCCAGTAATAAAATAAAGACTAATTTAATAAAGGGATTTTTAACCCATTTAGCAAGGACTAAATCTGGAGCCCTTTCTTCAAGGCACACTATACTTTCCAAATCCTACCTTCTGTTCATAAGAGAAAAAAACAGGCAGTAAACTATTCCTCCTGCTTTTACTTTTATGTTATGGGACAGCACTGTTCGATGTAAATAAATTAATTTCAGTAAAATAGTGGGTGAAGCTAGACATGTAGACCAGCTTCTGAGCAAGATGCATTACAGAGTCCCGTGCCTCTACTCATGTAATACCAGGTAACACAAACCCTACAGGTTATAATGCAAGAATCCTGCGGTGGCAGGAGGAAGGCATGTGGAATAAGACTCCGTGACCTAACAGAAGTAAAAACACTAGTCTCTACAGTTTATGTAGGAACCCTGTGGGCCCCCCTCAGCGTCCTTAATTTAGTCTTCATCGTCTCTGATCTGTTCTAACAGTCCTCTGTGGGATGGAAATTTAATATCTGGAAAATCTGGGGTCCTGGCTGACCTGTCAGAAACAGCAGTGGATGGCTGCTCCCTGTTTACTGCTGTATCACTTTGCTTGCCACATTCAGCACAATAAACAACAACAAAACCTGACACTATTTTATGAACCCAAATGATACGATTTAAAACCTCTAGAGGTCGGGCTAATGGAGAGCATCTTTCCAGCAGCTGCATTCTGCTGAGTGCGAGTGACACCTGCTGGGTCCTCTTCCCCATCGCCCACCCTTGTCCCACCACGGCATTTTACCTGCCCAGGGTGGTCCTTCTGCAGCCCAGCGTGCACTAAATCCTCCAGAAAGACACTTGAGAACACGAAATAAACCTGGGTGGCTCTTTCCTATTGCAGGAAGAAATAGTTTATCTGCACGTTACCTCTTTTATCATTCTGGTTATGCAGGTTTGCTTCCACCATATACTGAGGACCAGCTTCTTCTTTGCCTTTGACATCCTTCCAGAGGAGCTGTAGTAAAACGCAGCGAATTCCCACAGGGAAAAGTCCTGAGTGGGCACTGAAATGGGACAACATGATACGTTACTTATCTGTCACCTAATCACCATGAAAAACGCAGTCTAACTTCCTTCATCTCACCTTGAAGCCACCCAAGACGACTGCAGGAGAGGGCAGGAGATCCCTGGAAGATGTCTGAGAAACCTTCACTTCTTACATTACAATATGTAACAAACTCAAATGTATGTTGCAGTATATACTGTCTGTGAGTGCACATTTACAGTGCCAAGAGTTGCAATTTCTTCAGAACACACTGGAAAAGGTTCGTTTGTGGGACACCAGCAGCCCCCCAAAAGCTGATGATGAAATCTTGTGATGATGCTGATAAGGATTTGTGATTTTTTCTCTGTTATCTCTATTATTCTCTCTATTATTTCTCTGTTTCACAATTTGTAGACCTGGCAAATGCTGGCACCCGACATGCTGAAATGTTACAGGGGGGGACAATACAAGGTGCTGGACTGTCCTGGGGCTTTGGAGGACACCAGGCATGAGTCCCCTGGCATCCCCTGAAGAGGATCCTGGCTCCTAAGGGGACTTGCTGGAGTGAAAACCCCTCAGCCCTGTGACAGAACCCTCAACCCAGTGCCTGTAGCAACTGATGCAGCCTGTGCGGCCCCCCCTGGGGAACCGGGCGCCCTGCTGAGGAGATGGGACGGCGACAATGCCACACGGGGTCCAACGCCTCCCCAGCACCCCCGTGCTGAGGCGGAAGGAGGGGAGAAAGGGGGCGGCCCCACCCGCCCAACATGGCGCCAGGCCCTCACCACCCGCCCCAACATCCGGGTTCCCGTCTGACCTTCTTCCCATGAGCCTCGGCGGCGCCACCCGCCCCTTCCCGCCTTCCCCCGCGGCGGCGCAGGACAGCAGCGGCAAGATGGCGCAGCCGCCGGGTGAGTGGGGCCCGCCGCCAAGGTGACCGCGGCTCCCTCCTTTCCTTCCTCTCCCTCCATCCATCCCCTCTGACCGGGCTGTGTCTCTCTCTCTCTGTACCTCAGTTCTCCTCAAGGACATGAAGCTTATGGACGTGAAGCTGGGCCAGCTGCCCAGCTGGCTGGCCATGAGAGACTTCACCCCCGGCGGCATCTTGGGGGCCGTGCGAAGAGGTGAGGGGGGCGCTGAGGGGGACCCTTGGCCGGCGGGGAGCTGGAGGGTGTGAATCCCCTCTCCTGAGGGAGCGAGGCAGATGCACAAGAAGGACGTGGACCTCTGGAGCAGGGCCCAGAGGAGGCCATGAAGATGATCCGAGGGCTGGGGCATCTCTGCTGTGGGGGCAGGCTGAGGGAGCAGGGGGGGTTCAACCTGGAGAAGAGAAGGCTCCGAGGAGACCTTAGAGCCCCTTCCAGTCCCTAAAGGGGCTACAAGAAAGCTGGGCAGGGACTCTTTGATCAGAGAGGGGAGCCATAGGACATAGGGGAACAGTTTTAACCTGAAAGAGGGGAGATTTAGATTAGATTATAGGAAGAAATTCTTCACTCTGAGGGTGATGAGACACTGGCCCAGGTTGCCCAGAGAAGCTGTGGATGCCCCATCCCTGGAGGGGTTCAAGGCCAGGCTGGATGGGGCTTGGAGCAACCTGGTCTGGTGGGAGGTGTCCCTGCCCAGGGCAGGGGGGTTGGAAATCAATGATCTTTAAGGTCCCTTCCAGCCCAGACTATTCTGTGATTCTATGAGCGTTTGCACATCTCTGTGCAAAGAGGACCTAGCAGTACAGGGGCTGCTTCAGGGCAATGAACAGGAAATATTGTGACCTTAATCCTGAGCCTGGTCCCTGCCCAGGGCAGGGGAGTTGGGACTCAATGATCTTTTAAGATTCCTTCCAACCCAGACTATTCTGTGATTCTATGAGTGTTTGCACATCTCTGGCTGTGGCAGGGAGGACCTGACAGTACAGGGGCTGCTTCAGGGCAATAAACAGGAAATATGGTGACCTTACTCCTGAGACTATTTGCTGGAAATCTTGAGGTTTCCCAACATCACAAGTAAATAAACAAAAAAAGGCAGTTAATCCCTAAAGATGATAAGAAAGGACATAGGATTTTCATAGATTGCTTGGCTAAGGTTTTGACTGATGCCCGTAGCTATAGATAAAATCCCTAAAGATGATAAGAAAGGACATAGGGTTTTCATAGATTGCTTGGCTAAGGTTTTCACTGATGCCGTGGCTATAGATACAGATAAGGCATTCAGGTAGGTTTAAACATTTAAAATTTAGTGTCTATATAATGTATATGAAATAATTAGGTAATTCCAAAGCAGCTTGAGTGCATGAAAGCCACAACAGTGTTTCAGGAAAAATGATACGTGGCTTTCCCTCCCCCCTTTGTTTAAAGGCTTAGCACTATTAACCTGAGCTCACCTTGCTGAACTAAGACATAGACTACCTTCTCTCAAACTTGTTTCTGAGACCCTCAGATGTTTCATTAGAAACAATTTCCTGAAGTTCTGTGAAACCAGGCTGCTGCTTTCCGACACAGGAAAAATTTGCAACTCACCTTTTACAAAAACAACTTTCTTCCTACGCAGGTTATGATAGATACTACAATAAATATATCAATGTCAAGAAAGGGGGCCTCGGTGGGATCTCCATGGTGCTGGCTGGTTACGTTGTCATCAGCTACATCTGGAGCTACAGTCACCTGAGTAAGTAAAAGCTGAGTGCATATAGTGCAGCTTGAAAGATTGCTTGGAACAATAAAAACAACTAATTTGCTGCTGCTTTTAGAAATAAAACAAAAAACTGTGCTAACCATTGCTGCTTGAATCTAAAACTTCTTTTAGCCATAGAGAACCTGAATGCTTTTAGGAAGTTATCAGAAAACTTGGATCTTGTTGCCTGTTTGACCTGACAATACTTAGAAACTCCATGCTGAGGTTCCTTTTAGAGTGCTTGCTTTCCTCTAGTTTCAGGAGTGGTGTTTTTTTTTTTTTTTCTTGTG